CTACACCGTTACCCGGAGAAAGCAAAACTTGCATTATAATCCATACGGTAATTATTATCACCAAGAATTAGGAATGTGTCTATTCACTAGACCCTTATTTGCGGTCGTTAGAAGCATGTTACTTTAACCTTGATTGTTTAAAGAGGGTTTCAGTTTAATGCAAATATTACCCAGATCTCTTGTCGACGAGGCCGAAAGCGAGATCTGGTCAATTAATCAAATTCAATTCTCTTTTTTATTAGCTACTCTAACTGCCTAAAAAGTATATGTATTGCGGGAGTGACATGAGTATTGTCATCAGCGCGCGCTATGGTGTCTGCAATTCATTCTTCACAAAATCTTTTTCTGGTCTTTTCCCCCTTGTACTATATAACGCCATTTAATATTTCTTTCTCTCTCCCACTATACAAGTTTCACTTCCTTGGCTTTTCGCCGCAGTCTTTGTTTTTACCCTTCTTCCTCTTCGTCGGCCTTAGTCTTTATATCAATACAACATATGTCTGGGACGTTTTTTCGGAGAGCCCAGTTAATACGACCATCCGGATATCGATGATGCGGACACCATGGCATGTCCCCTAAATGTCCGTATTAACTTTCTAGCTGGTTCTACTGGAGTTTCTGTTTGAAAAGTAAAATGTGTTTTACTGATCCTTTTTTTTTCAAGCTTTTGTTATAGTAAGAAGCAAATTTACGCCAGGTCATAACATTATCAAATTTTCTAGTAGGTTCACTTGCCTGGGGCTCGTTCTCGTGGATCCACAACACTTTGACAATGTTATGATGCAATTTTGTCCTCAATAAGAGGACAGACGATAAAGAAACTAGCAGCAATGTGATGAATTGAACCAGTTTTAGTGCATAAAATTATTATTTAACCTACTATTTCCCTACTTCATCGTATGTAGCAGAGATCACTCTTCCATTTGCAGGTGCATATCGAGGCAGCTTAAGAATGTCTACAGATATATTTGTCTCCCTTTCCCATGTTATTGCTTAACCTCGGTCTGTATGTATAGCAGTGTGTGAAAGTCAGTAACAAATAGTCAATTACTCGTATGCAGACAGAGATCGCCACAGTGGGGCAGGTGCTGGGGGATCTTAGAGGACGTGAAAATTACCCACTTTGAACCTGTTTATGTACAGTAGATAAAACTTTACGAAACCAGTTAAACTACAAGAAATATTAAAATATTAAATAATTTTCTAGCTTGTTAAAAGCTAAATTAATTCTTATAATTACTACTATTTTATTTTTTTCTATACCAGAATGTCAGAAGTACACAAGTTTTAACAGCGGTGACAGAAAGATTACGTACACTACTCGCCACGGTTATTGTGACAGTGGACTCGAACCTGGTTGGTTCCGTTTTGAGGGGTCAGCCGGCACAAGAATGCCAAGTTCATGTCCACCTACACTCAGATGTGGCACTTATGGACCCGCCTGGTTGAATGGTGGACACCCATCAGTAGCAGACGGTGAGGTCAGCAGGCAGGTGTGTTTTCGCTGGACATCAAGCTGCTGTGAATGGCCAACAAATATCAAAGTGAGGAATTGTGGTTCATATTATGTGTACTATCTTAGTGGTACACCTACTTGTAATCTCCGTTATTGTGGCACTAACTAAAAACAAGCTGCAAGTAAAGTAATAGATATGCTATCGTTTCACTTAAGTAGGCTTCATTGTATTAAAGAAAGAAAAGAAAATAGAAAAATAGAAAAAAAAACTGCACTTAAGTTCAATATCTGAATTTCTATAACTTAAGCAAAGAGAGAAACAATAAGAGGTAGGACAACGTATTACTCATGTTAGCAAGCAAGAACAATTTTCTTAAAACTAAAATGAGGATAAATTTTCTTTCAAGCCCGTTGAAGATCAAGTAAGAAATAAATAATAGTAATAGAACTTACCAGGAAGTTAAACTAGGTAAAATAATACATTAAATTAGCAATGCAGATTTCTGTGTTACTTGTCAAGGTGATCAGAAATATACCCGGAATCCAAGAACGCCATGCAGTTGCTAAATATACTACGATGGACAGATGTTTTAACTTAGAAGATGTGCCGGGAAGGGCAGGGTATGAATCTGCTTACTTGTTTTAATATTGTTCTGTATAGGCTTGTACTCTGTAAAATTGGAAACGGAATGTATAACGACCCTAAGTACAGTCAACTGTCGTCTTGCGCACACGCCGGCAACGCGAACAGCAGAAAAAATTACCTAATTTCTACTGCAGAATGTTGCTTGCTAACAAGGACACTAACTCGCGGTCCCGATGGGGACTGTTCTTTTAATGTTGAGGAAAATTTTTGGATTAGGATTGAGCCTCTTTGAGAAATAAACGTACAATGGAATGAAATACCTGTTACCTGCGTTTGTTTTTATTGAGTATGACAATAGGCTATTTACACGATGGCGTCATTTTAGTCACCACCCGAATCCTCTGAGACCCGGATTACATAAAACGTTCTACCGATCTAGCTAAATCCAGGCCAGACGG